CGACTAGCCTAGATCTATACAGTCCCTTCTTCTTGACCGTGTTGACCCACCTGCTAGTCAAAACTCGCCTGCCGTTTTCCTTAGCAAGACGGCGAGCTTCGCGCTCAGGGATCACTTCCCCAACCTTGAAGGATTCCAACTCTTCCAACTCAAGCTTCATTGATGCGTAAAGGAGATCGGGTTCTAGCTTCTCTCCCGAAGTCTCAGACACAGCGTTCTGGGGAACAGCACACCTTATCTTCGTACCCCCAAACTTCAAATCAAACGACTTTGCAACTGCAGTGGAGGTGGCTCGCAGGTCAGGCCCTCGAAACAGGGACTCAAGATAGTGATTCGTGAGCCAGTCTATTTCCATATCCCCCTCATCGTTCACAACCTCCTGGTTCTCAGGCGCTTCCGACGGAGAATAGTCAGCAAGCTCATCTTCAATCATCTCTTCATCACCATCTTCATCCATTCCCACACCAGCCCCCTCATCAGGAGCATCATCACCAGGAGCCTCCAACGGATCAAACAGTATGGGCCTCTCGGGGTCCTCAGTGTCCTGCAGAAGAGGCTTAGCTAAAGATAGCTCTTCCAGGGTCTTGGCATCGTAGATGTCACCTCCCTGAATCATTCTGGCGACGGGGAATATATCTATTTCCCTGCTTCCGACAGGGACGGCAAAGATGCCGCCACCTTTGGCGTGCACCGGTCCCAGATAAACCGCTTTCACGGTCCGGGCGCCCCTGAACTTATCATGGTGCGCCTTGGACTTACTGACCTGAGCTTGAACCAGACACCCGAACGGTCTCGTCCGAGTTCGGTTCACAATCTCCTCATGCAGTCGATCTATGCTAGTGCTCGAATCCCCGACGCTGGTACACCAGAGGTTATAGCACCTAGCAACATAGAAAACACAGGCTTGCCAAAGCAAACCTCCCAAAGGTAACTGATACTTCCCAAGCTCAACGGCTTCCGTTTCCTGCTTCACCTTAGCAACCTCTTTCTCCAGGTCCATCCAAACAGACCAGAAACCCTGCTTCATAGTTTCAACCTGCCTCTCAATCGATCCTTTCGACTGGGGCCGATACCCCGGAACCACGTCAATCAAAGTTGCGCTGGCAGGGCTGCTATCGCACTTGGTGAGTTTCTCGGCAAGGGCTCCAAGAGCCGCTTCTTGGTCCATCCGAAATGTAACCGCTTTACCGACTAATCCCATTTCGCGAATCACACGGTTGATGTTGTGGAGCAGGTCAGGGTCATCGAGGTGCATCGCAGGAAGAGAGACAGTATACTTAGAACCGAGGTGCATCATCAAGAGTACCCTCAGTTTTCCGAAATAGAAGAAATCAAGACCTATGGTCTGGTTCTCTCTCTGCAGCTTCCTCCTCAAGCGACGCGCCGGAACGCGCCCTTTCGAAGAACAGCACGCTTCACAATTGGAATCAAACGGAAAATGCCCTCGGCTCCGATGATTATACAACGAAACAGAAGAGAGAGGAACCCTCAGGTCCTCCTCGTCCTCAGGTCCAACCGGGTCGTCAGGTGGTGTTGGACCCTTTTCTTTTCGAGGTTTCTTGGAAGAGCCAGGGGCAGATCCTAATGGTTCAGGATCCTCATCAAAGATTCCTTCAGGATCTAAAGGATTACGACTAGAAGCTTCAGGTTTTGAGGAAGTTGCGGGAGCAGGTCTTGAGGAAGGTTCGGGGTCTAAGTCAAACGGATCAGAACGTGTACCGGTCCCCGGCGACGGTAAACCTCTAAAGCGCACGGCTCGAAGCACGTGCTCAACTTGTTCCGTCTTCTTTGCCGGGGCCGGTTCATCATCTCCGGCACAAAGCATGCCAAACATGCCGCAACATGCGCACTTTAAGTTTTCACAGACATGCTCACAAACGCGCTGCCCAAAACCTTTCACCTCACGACTCAAAAGAAGTTTCCTACTCACCTCGACGCGGGCCCAACGGTCCCGCAGCTTAATCCTAAAGTAGCTTCCGCGTTTTCTAGAAAACACCCTATAGAACTTTCGTGGCCTCTTTCGCGAAACCACTTTCCTGAAACACCGAAGTAACCCTGAAGAAACCCACAAAGCTATACCACAGAAGAGGCTGTAGACCGTCAGGAGGAGCACGATGATACCAAGATCCAGTCCTGGCGTGAAACCATTCCTGAACGCGGCCGTGGTTTTAAAGGTGCGGGTTTCGAAGGTAGGAGGGTTCGAGGTACTTTGGGTTGGTTTTCGAGCAAACGCAACATGCCACAAACCATGCCAACGCTCATGCCACACAACATGCTGCTGCAAAACGTGCTGCTGAAAAGTGTGCTGCTGAAAAGCGTGCTGTTGCAAAGCGTGCTCGCAAGAAAAAACTTTTGAACTCCAACCCCTCGGTGCGGATCGCCGCAGAGTCACTCCAAGAGCCTCTGGCCCTCTTCTAGGGCCTGCCTCGCCTGCGCAGTCACTTGACTGTGGCTTAAAGATGGCGGGCTGAGCACAAATGCCCGTTCCTGGGCAGTCTGTCCTGTGGCAGAAGCACTCATAGCTCTCGGAGGCGTTGGTAGGCGAGATCTTTTTGGAACCGACGGAGGGATGTTCACGCCGTGCTTTTGATAGTCCTCCTTCTGCATCCCCTCCGGAAGCGTTGGTGCTGAAACCCTCGGGAGGTTGAATGCAGTAGCCACCAGTTCTCCTGGTGGCACCGAGGACGGAGCCGGGCTCGGCGGTGCCGGCTGTCCTGCCTCTGCGGGCTGATTTCCCTCGTCGGCCCCAACAAAGCCATCCAATTGGGACAGCCTCTGGCCTGTGAGTTCTTCCAACGTTCGCCATATGGCGATGTCGGATAAATCTTCTTGGCCCTGGGCCCTGTTCAGCGCCGTAACTTCTCCTTCTCCAAGGAGCAAGGATTCCTCGTCGGAGCTCGAAGAGGAGGTGTCCACAACACCGCCCTCCATCGTTGAGCCCTGAGGAATCGCTGCCGATTTGGCCCTTGCCGCTCGCATGGATTCCCGGGCCTCGTGGAGGCGCTCCTCCTCCCGTTTTCGCCTGTAATATCGGGCAACACGGAGATATATGCCCGAGTCTAGGTATGCCCAAGCCGTTTTGAGCTCGAGCGAGGTGACCGACTGGGGCACCTTTACGAGCAGACTCGAACGCGCTCCCACCAGTCCCCTGTATCCAGCAGGCGTAGCCAGATAGGTTTGCAGTACAGCTCGACAATGGAAGAGATAGTGTAACATAGATACAGGGTTGGGTTCCTGGAACCTTCGTTTCCACGCCGCCCGAGCGGCCCGTGGAGCCTCCAGAAGTTCGGTAACCCTGACGGCGAACCCCACGTCTTCCATATGAAGCCCGTACTCTGCTAGGCTCTTGCCCTCTAGGCAACGTCCCAACCAAACCTCCCATTCCTGCTGCCCAATGATACATTGGGCTTCCGATTCCACCATCTTCGGCCTCGAAACCCTCAATGGTTCCTCTGGATAGGCCGCTGTCACCGGAATCACTGGAGTGGTTGGTAGCCAAGCAGCTGGATGCTCTAGGTCGGGCAGGCCTATCGGACCGAGCATCGTCGCCGTCGGAGAGCAAAGTGCTCTCAAGGCGTGGCCTGGAGCACAGAACGCCAGGGATGGGGCATCGTAGGCATCGTTCATGTTCGCTGGAATCCCCGCCAAGTGCGAGAGCAACGGAATAGGCTCGGTAGAGTCGACCGAGACCTTTGCAAGGCCTAGTGTTTCCGCATGCTCCCATCTGCGGCCAGCCTCCAGCCTCAACGCTCTCAGGAGGAGTTGGGTTCCCACATCCATCTGAAGCGCACCAAACGGAGGGCTCAGCGAACCCGGCGAAATGTTCGCCGGGATTCCAACCCGAGGTGGCGTAGGCCCCTCGACCTCTGAAGGAACCCCAGCGCGCAGGCGCTTCGAGGGATTCGGCCATTTGTGGCCCCAACTCTCCTCCCCTTCGCTCTCTGAGAACAAAGGGCTCTCTGCAATATCCGCCCTCGGCGGACTCCTCGCAGTATTCTCCTCCACAGGGCTTCCAGCCGCATCCGCCAGCAACGGGCTCTCCGCTGCTTCCGTCACCACTGGCGACGGGTAGACAGCCACCGGCGACGATGGTCCCCCACCCGGCGGCTCGACCCCCGGTAGTTCGAAAGAGGGGCTCTCCAAAGCTGGCGGTGTAGGCGGGTCCCCTGGGGAGCCCGGACTGCTCAAAGCAACACTCGGGGTAAACTCGTCCCCGCTGGCACCGTCCATTATGATCTCCAAAGGGAGACCTCTCTTCACCAAAGAGAAAAACGGCTGCAGATGGAACATGCGCAGTGCTAGCGCAAACATTCGGCAACATCAGCGTTTGCAAAATCAAGCCAAGCATGCCAACATGCCACTGTTTCCTAGGTTCACGCAGCTGTTTCCTAGGCTCACGCATCTGCTTCCTAGGCTCACGCCGCTGCTTCCTAAGCTCAGGCAGCTGCTTTCGCAACCCTTTTTCTACCCTCTGGTGGCTGAAGGGTCGGTCTTCTCTACTTTCCATCAAGCAAGACCCAACCAGCTGCAATGCTGCCATCTGCATCGCTCTCAGCATAGCTCGAATCTGGAACTTCGTCGTGGGCACGTAGCCATTGCAACCCAGACCAATGTTGAATGCAGGCCCAACAATAATGATGGGTGTGAGCAGGTTTGCGTCTAACGCAGACCTGCTTTCCGCACACCTCGCACCGGTGCTCGCATTCTTGCTTTGATCCGCCCAGATAGTTTCCCATAGCAGGAAAAAGAGGCGTATGCCGAGTCGTTCTGCAAAAACAGTAAGGGTAAAAGCCCGCTTGAGCACAGCAGCCAAAACCCAATGCGCTTGCACAACCATGTCCATCATGAAAACATGCCATCGCAAAACCATGGAAAAACATGCCAAAAACATGCAGAGCACCATGCCAACATGCGACTGTTTCCTAAAATCAAGAGCCATGCCAACATGCGACTGTTTCCTAAAATCAAGCGACATGCCAGCATGCAACTGTTTCCTAAAATCAAGCGCCGTGCACTGCCTAAAGTCACTAGACTCTTCTAGAAAATCACAAAGCTCAATCTCCCGTGGTGCAGGCGCTCTTGGAGCAACTTCCGCCCTAAGACCCCGAAGCAGAAACCCAAAAGGAGTGGCAGCCAAAGCGTGGCGGCCAGACTCGTCTTCTTCCGAAGTCTTTCTTCCTTTCTTCAGGATTCCTTCTCCAGGCTTCTGGGGTCCTGCGGTGGACTCCTTGCTCGATCCTAGCAGGTCGCGGTCCTTCAAGGCATCTATCTCCATGTCCTCGATCCCTTTCGGGGGGCGTCTGGAAGAATTCTCTTTCCCCCGGCCCTTGGACCTCCCGCTCAGAGCCCACCAGGCGCGCGAAGCGCCCATCAGCTTGATGCTCTTCTTTCCGTTTCCTTTGTACAATCGTGATCCCGATTTGGCTAGATAGGTTTTCCAGCCCCGTTCCGACCCGGTCCAAGGCGAAACAACGTTGAACCCAACATCCGCCACCAAGACCTCTTCCAACCTCAGGAAAACATCCCCAAAATGAACCTCAAGGTCGACGACCCCCGAAACGACGATCGCACCACCCGAGGCGTTGAACAGATTGGCCGTTCGGTCGTACTTCTTGACAACACGAAATCCTGAGAGATGTTTGTCAGAAACAATGTGGCAGGTGGCTCCACTATCAACGAGCCACAAGTCCCCAGGAGTAGTCTCGAGGGCCTTGCAGACATGAGCTACATCGCCGTGCTTCAACACACGGGATCCTAAGGAGCCCATAGACTCAGAACCTCGACTCTCAGACCTAGGCGACCCTTCGGGTCCTGAACCCGGCTTCGGAACTACAAGGGCGGACGGCTCAGGTCTCTCAGGCTGGCTCAGAACACGGCGTTCCGAAGAAGAGGGCTCCGAAGAACCACGCCCAGGACAGGAAAACCTCATCGCCATCACTGTGGCGCTTCCTCCCGACTCGGCCTCGGACTCCGGCTCTGTCAAGGAGCGTCCCTTTCCAGGCTGTCCCTTCTTCTTTTTCTTCTGCTTCTTGCCTTTGTCCTTTCCTTTGTCGCCTTTTCCTCTGTCGCCCTTGCCCTTCTCAGAACCACGGGGCGTGCCAGATCCCTTGGGAGTCTGGTCGCCTTTGCCTTTCGGCTTTCCTTTGTCTCCTTTCCCTTTGCCCTTCGGAGCACCACCGCGTTCTTCCTTTTGGCGCTGCCAACACTTGTCGGCTGTGTGTCCCTTCTTCCCGCAGTAGTCGCAAAGCTTCTCCTGCAAGGCTCGGCCCGAAGACCCAGGGGCCTCACACAGTCGCAGCTGCTCCTCGTAGTAAGTCAGCGTCCTTCGAAGAGCTTCCCAGTTCGAGCTGGACCCGTGCAGTACCACGTACTGACGCACTTCTGCACCCAAGCTCTGTAACAGGACAGAGCAGCGGTCAGCCTCAGACAGCTGAAGCTCCGGAAAGTTGCTCAGCTTCGCTTCAGACTTCGAAAACGAATCCTCAAGATGTCGAATCAAGTCGGTGGGCCTCTTCAGATGCCCAACGTGCTGGTACAACTTCAAAGCCTGTTCTCTCACGAAGACAGCTTCCATCCGCGACACGATGGAGTACTGAGAGGTAATCGTTCTAATCACCTCGTAGCCGCAGGCGCTCTGCCCCTGCCTCTTCGAGCAGGACCTCAAGAGCTCGCTTCCCCGCTCCCACTTGGCGAGGGACTGCGTCAAGTAGTAGAACAGCTTGGAGCTACGCGCGGCAGTCTCGGGATTCAAGTCAGCTTGCACAATCTCCTTCTTCACAGGGATACAAAGCTGCAGTTCCCGAACAAACGCTTCTTCCTGCAGGGCAAGCCAGGAACTCAGCGTCTCCATAAAGGAGTGCCAAGTCTCTACCTCCTTCATGCGCCCTTTCCCCATGCCTTGATGGTCTATCACCGGAAGGTTCGGCAGCACCAGAGTACCCAGAGGGAGACGGAACTGCCGGAGAAACTGCCGAACTCGCGGCAGAACTGCTCGCGGGAGCAGTGCTCGGCTGGAAGGGGTCCCGAGTCTTAGCTGCCTCTGCTGCCTGCTTTGGCCGCTTCAGCTGCCTCGTGAACTTTCTCTTCCGCTTTGTTCCTTCTCTCTTCCTCCAGATCCATTCTCCGGAGCATCGTCGCAACGAGCTGCTGGTTCATTGCCATCATCTCTCTCTGCTGACGAAGCAATTCCATCATGAATCCAGGCTCTGCTCAGGCGTAAAACCTGCAGAACCAGAGCTGCTACTCGGAGCAGCAGCCTTCGGACTCTGAACAGGTGGAGCCGACGCCTTTGGACTTTGCACAGGAGGCATAGTAGCACCAGATGGCGAACCCGCCGCTGGTACAGAGGCTGTGCTGCTTGCAGAGGAGCAGGAGCCGGACCTGCACAAGGAGCAAACGGATTGCTTCCTGCTGAGCACCTTCCACAACAACAGTTCAAGGCAAAAAGGATGAAACCCTTCTCATGCGCAAAACAAGCATGTCGGTGCTCAAGGACACACCTAAAAAGGAGCAAACTTTTCACACTCTGGCATCCATTGATCTGCAAACCGTCCACTTTGGCCCTGGACTTTTTTGGACTTTGGTGTGCTCGATCGTGTCGGAACAAAGCGCAAGGGTTGTCTGGCAAGACTAGAACGGCTGCCGGAGCTTGGAATTGGCTCCACCTGTTGCTTTGGGCAGCTTAGAGTGACGGCTCTTTGTTGCTTCGGATGGGTCGCTGACGTGGTTGAGAAGCGGCTTCGACCGGGAGGCGGGTGAGAAAGAGAACCCGCTGGATGACAGCTGCACCAACTGTGTTCAAGGACAACTTGCGGTGGAACAGGGCGGCCAAGGTTCCCTCCTCTTCTCTACAATGTGCAAAGTCAAAAATCGGCAGGTGTGCAGACTGTGCGCACACGATGTGTGTCGCCGATGCAATGCATGGAGGAAGCCGATTGGGTTGCCCCAGACAGTCGAAAGAGTCTGGCTGTGCTGAAGCCAGCATCTACGCGGCCCAGGCTGCTTGGCGAGTGCAACAAGGCTCTAATGGAGCTTCGCACTTTGTTGCACTGTTTTGGAAGTTAGTTTATTGTTCTGCTTCGCTTGTCGTTTGTTAGTTTGTAGGGCCGAGTGCTACAGCTGTAGCCGACGAGACCCAGTCACGCCAAAAAAAAAGGGTGTTTTTGCGCGAGTATCCAAAGACTGTTGCAACTGCAGCTAATCTTCAGAATTCGCCAGGCCGTAGCTGTTCCGTTGACAAGAGATCTACTGTTGCCTCAAATCTGCAGTTCGCAGTCATTGTGCCAATTTAAAGTGCCTTGAGTGGTTGTTTGGGCCCTTTGGCACTTGTGCCAATCACGGTCTGGAGAAGGTTTGGTCAACGCCCGCTTGAAGCACGCTCCTGCGCTTAATTGCACGTTTTACCACAACGCGGAGCGTTTAGTTTCTCAGATCTGCACGTATTTAACCTGATCACTTAACAGAGCAGCACGTGTTTAGTGCGCAAAACGCGCAATTTGGAACCTGCGCCCACGTGGTGAAACACCCCTCCTCCACATCAGTTTACTCTCCACTGCGGCGGTGCCACGGTTTGGGCTGCTGTGCCTGCTAAAGAAATGCCCAACACACGCTACTCCGTTGCCTTTTGCTTATTTGGCTCAAGGCGTCTTAGAGGAGGTGTTTCAGTTTGTGCACTGTTCAGCGGCAGCTTAAGCAGCACGGTCACAAAAGTTTGCAATCTTATCCGTGTTGTAAAGTGCCTGAGACAATACACACAAGTCCAAACAAGGGATCCACCAGGTAGCAAAATGCACCCTGCTGAGTGCAATAGAGGAAGGTGCGGGATTCTTCCCATGCCTGCCGTTGAGCATGTCCAAGTTTGAGAAATGACGTTGGCTCACGCACTTACCAAGGCAAGAGGGAAGGTCGAACCATGTTAATAACGGACATCGACGTATGTCAACGTGCCGGCAATCTTAGAAGTTCCGAGAGAAGAAAAGCACAGTGCAGATCGATGTAAGACTTTGCCGGTGGAAGCCATTCAGCAAACTACGAAGCCACAGCGACCGATCCAAATAAAAAAGCGGCCGCCAAAGCAGCAGATGGAGCCAAATCCCGGCAGCTGTTCTTGTCTTGACAGACAACGGACAGCCTCTGTGCTTTGTTTCATCAACGATTGAGCGCACCAAAATCCAAAAGTCCAACGCGCACCGTGGCGAGTGAACATGATGCAGAGCCAGAGTCTTTGCGACTCAAAGCCGGCCAGATGCGACCGCACCCCGAAGACGAAAACAATCGATCCACGGTGTGCAACAGTGGTAAATTGGATGTTGGCGTCCATTGCCACCATCGCCCACAATGCGTGTGGCAGGCCAGAATGCGGCCGTAGGGAAAACTTGTTGTGCGTCAAGACCCAGCACAGCGCAACTCAAGAGCGTTCCAAGAACGGCAACGGAGCGCCAGTGACAAGGCTCGGGCCAAGGCAAGGCGGTGCGGCTGCTCAGATGGGACGAACCCCTGCCGCGACCTGATGCTAGTGGCTTTGAGCTTGGACCCTGCGCAATTCTCCGTGCAGTCGCTCATTCCATTCCGACCTTCTTGTTGTTTTTGGCCCTTAAGGGCACTTCACTTTGCAGGGTAGACGTTCTGAAGCACAAGCAACACTACACTCTTTGGACACGAAGCTGGTGTAGGCTCCGTTGACTCATCTCCATGCTGCAACCTGCGCTTGCCCACGTAAGTGGTGTAGCACGGTAGAGACTCAATTATTTCCACATAGACTTCTTCTAGTCCCTGCATCTGAACTCCACCTTCCACAGAAACTCCCTGTAACTTGAAACCCTGCATCAATGCTGATCCTGATCACTTGTGTCTTACTTCTGTCCCTTGCGTCAGTACGGGGGAAGAAGTCGTACGAAGTCGACAACGTTCAACTTGGCACCAACTGTGGCCAGAAGCTTCCATCGAGTGGATATGTGGTGTCTGCTGGATTGACCAGAGTTTTTCAAATCCAGCAAAGCATGATGTGCGGCGCATGCATGCAGGAGCGGGCGCTAAGCGTTGAAGGCTCTGTGGCTGGCGTTACTTTTGCTGGAAGGCGATTTCGCGGAGCAACTAAGTTGTTTTTTCTGTTTTCATAGCTGCCGGTTCAGCAGCGCAATGTTTTTTTATTTATCGTTTTGTTTCCGGCATTCTTTGCGATGTGAGTCTTTAACTCACAACCAATTTTGGAGAACTAAAGTTTTAACTTCTCCCAAACAACACATGCCTTTCAATTGCACTTGTTGATTGGAGTTGAACTTATGCGTGAACATCCGCGCCGCCTCACACATCATGGCTCGTTGCATATGTGCAACATGACATCTCAATCAGCTCATAAGCTACGCAGCTTGAGCATGCACTGTGCCGCAGAGCTTTGCTAAGAATTTTCACCCACCCTCCCGCCCTTGAGGGCTTTCGCCCAATGTATCGGTGGAGAGGTTATGCGTGTTGGGGCAGAATCGGTATCATGCACAATTGAGCGATTGCGAATCTCACCGCATATTTGCTCGTGCCTCAACCGAAACCCGAAACTAGTGGCTTGGGCCACATCCGATGTTTCATGACTCGCCCTGCCGTGTAAGACCCTCCGACTGGAAAAAGACCGTGTCCGAGTGAGAGCATTCGTCTAAGGAATTTTTATATATTATAGATTGCGATTCTCGAACACAGATTGATTGAGTTCGCACTTTGTTTATCGATACATCAAATCATTGTGAAAACAGAAAGACTGTGCGTGATTGGTTCCGGTGTTGATTTGGCCTGTCTGGAGCAGCCTGGCCTGGGGGAGCCTCCCCGGTACAGCTGATTAAGTTCCCGGTATGTCGGGTGTCGGCAAGGTCATGAAATGTAAGGGGGCCGCGCGTGCGGCTACGCTGTCGCTCCGAATGCTGCAGAGGTGGCTCTTGCAGCAGAACTGCTGGCTGGCGGGGCGGTGAAAACAAGAGGCGGTTCAGTTCGATTCGTTGGGCAACTTTTGCGATGTTACATAGCTTGATATATTGCTCGCGCCCAACTATCATTTCGGGCAACATCTGTGTGAGATTCGACACATCTTAATATTTTGTTCGTGCCCAAATATGATTTCGGCGGCAATCTGCGGGTGCAGTGCAACAATTTTGCATAGCTTGATCTACGCGATGCCGCCCAAATAACATGTCGGGGAACATCTGTTTGTGCATCGGCTTGCCACTCATGAGCGTGGATCCCGGTAAAAAACAAGTGGCTTGCGAGCAATCGTGTCTGCGCCGGGGTGGGGCTGGGCGATTTGAGATTTCGTGACAATTCAGCGAATCTTGCGTGGTTTGAAGCTTTCAGAATAAGAACCTTGCAGTATGTTTAGCTGTTTCATCGCATGCAGAGAACACATCAAAGCCTCAATGATGCCAAATCGAGAAGTGTACAAGCACCCAGACTGTGCCCAAACCTTCAAAGTCCACGACCCCTTATTGGGGTTTAGGTTCCTGTTGGTTGAGAGAGATATATACATATATATATATATATATCAGTTGGAGTTGGCGGTTTTAGTTTCAAGGGTTTCGGGTTTAGGCCTTCGCGTTTCGGGTTTGGGGTGTAGGGGTTGGTTTGAAACTTCGGGCTCAAGGCCTGCATGCGGGTTGGGGTTTACAGTTATCATATTTGGCTTCGTATACTGTCGCGGTCGAGGTTTTGAGCTTTTGAGGTTTAGGGTTTGGGGCTTAGGGCCAGGTTTTCGCTCGGGGTTTGGGTTAAGAGGTTTCGGATTTAGGGTCTGGGGCTTAGCGGCTTAGCGTTTGATGTTTAGGATTTGGGGTTGGAGGGTGAGGCTTTTGAGTTTGTCGGGCTTCCTCGGGTATCCTTTGTAGGGTTGTTTGCGTGAGGGTCTGGGTGGTTTTTTTT